CAGGAGAGGTCTGCCATGCCATGTGGTCACCTCCAGGGCAGGCGGGAATCGAACTCATGTGGAAGTGGCTTTAGCTTCTCAGTGCTGTGCTTTAACCCACTGCGCCACCAGGGAGGGCCTTGTTTTTGTTTTTAAAATAAGGTTGGGACACCCAGCCAGCTGCAGGGTTGAGATAACATGCATGACAATTCTTGATAACAGTCAAGTACAAAACACAAGGCAATGGTGATAGCAATGACAATTCCTCCATGTTACCAGTCCCAGTGAAAAATCCTCACTTGACAAAATTTCGCTTATGCTTGCTAATACGCCCACCAGTGATCTTTCATTTGATCTTCTCTAGGTAAAGAAGCTTCTTCCAAGGATCCGATCATAGCCAGTGAGGTTTTAACCTCATCTGAAGACAAAGAAAAATGTTTCCTGCCACAGAACATGACTCCAGGTATCTAAGTGAGAAGACCTAGTCACCTCTCCCACCTCAGCTTCCCTTCCCACCTGGGGTTCCTTTCCAGGGACCCCAAATGCATCTTTGTAGATGTGGCCTTGGCAATGATATTGATTTTTCACTCATCTTTCATTGCTCTTCAGTGCCTTCTAGATAAACTAAAACTTCTTATACTGACACTCAAAGCTCTTCTCAATCTAACACCTATTAGAGTTTTGTACATAGTTCCTGTATCAAAGAAAGCATATGATTGATTTGATTTGAAGGTGCTGGAGGGTAGGGTGTTTTTTAAAACATAATTATATATTCTGCATCATTCCTAAAAAACTGATTTGTACATAGGTGGTATTCAGGAAATTTTTGGTAAATAAATACATAAATGGTTGAATAAATATGTGGATGTTATTTGTATTCTATATAGAACCTGACAGTATATTAGTAGGTTCTGAATGAATATTTATTAAATGAATGAAAGTAAATGATTAAATATGCAGGGTGAGATTGGCAGAACCCCTTCTGGGCATCTGTATGAATCTGTCAGCAGCAGGAAAAGATTTTGACGTTGATGTGAAAATATCTTACTCTAAATATACATCTTTCACAAGATTCCCCTTAAGATATCTCTGAAGTGGGCAAGAGAGATGTTATCAGAGACTGGGCTGAAACTTGCTGTATAATCTCTGAGGATAAACCTGTAGAAGACAAACATATTGAGAGTTCCACACATATTTGCTGTATTAAAGGCTTAATTTGATTGTAATGTGCTGGAGGATGGGATTTTTTTGGGAATAATTACATACCCACAGGATAAGCCTAGCGCAAACCACGTTCCAGAGACAAGCCAAGTGAGCCCTGCGTGTTTCCTTCATCCTCAGGTGCTCACCTGTTTGGAGATGGCACCAAGTCCCTCATTTTGAGGGTAGCATCTGGTGTCTCAGAGAGGGAGGGTGACTTCTCTACATTCACACAGACAATTTGGGGTGAGAAAGGGGTTTAAATCCTACTGCTGTGTTACCAGGCAGGGTGAGCATCACTCTGGAACCCCAAACCTGCCTATTTTAAGTATGTTCTGCCATCCGTGTATCAAGACAAAACATACTGTAGCACATAAAACCTTTTTTTTTTTTTTTTTTGCACATAAACCTTTAGTGGAAAGGAGCTTTTTAAAAAACAGTATTATTGAATATAATTTGAGCAAACCCCAATTTCTTTTTTTTTTTTTAAAGATTTGTTAACTTATGCATACGGAACTGGGGTACAGGCCAGAGATGCAGGGGCAGTGAGAGGATTCACCAGAGACAGAGCAGGGAGCAGAACAGGCAAATCTATGAAGTACACTGCTGAGAGGAGCAGCAGGCAAAACAGGAGAGGTCTGCTGTGCCATGTGGGTCACCTCTGGGGCAGGGGATTGAATTCACACTGAAGCAGCTCAGCCAGCTTGCAGTGCTGTGCTATAAGCCATTGTGCCATCAGGGAGGGCCAACAGGAAACGATCTTTTAAATACAGTTAGTGTGCAATAAAGAGAAGGGAAAGAATAGATAAAATAGTTTCCAAGTCCAGCACCCGAAATTACCCAGCCCTTTGTGGGTAAATGTCCAGCTGAGTAGGTTTGGTCTAAAGCAGGGCCACTGAAGCCTCAAAACCTGCCACATGTCCAAGGCACCTTCTGGTGGGGGGTGGGGGTCATAGGAAAGGGGCAAAAGGAGCCAGACAAGTCTGGAAGGGAAAGAGCAAACTCAAAATCAAGATAAACGCTGCCATTGGTAACCTCGCGCGGGTCTCTCACCCACATCTGTTTCAAGTCTCTTCTCCCATGTCCCCCAATTTCCCAGTACAAGTCCAGGGATGAGACTCCAGCACAGCTTCTTCACAGGTCTCTCTGCTCCAACTGCCCCCTGCAAATCTCCTTCTTCTTCCTTTCTATTCTCAGTCTCCTCCCTTGCTTCTCCTCCTCCCTGCTCATCTCCACCCAACTTGGGTGGGTCAGGGGACCTCAAGCCTTCCCTTTCCCTGGGGAGTACCCCATTACACTTGTTCATAATCATCATGCTCCATTGCCCTACAAACAAACACTTCTTTTTGCCATACAAAATGTCGTTGTCTCTCCTCGGGGACATATGTAATACCTCCATGATGCCAGAAACCTGTATGTTTTTCCGTATATGTGTGTATATCCATTTCAGGCATGTATGTATATGCACACATATGATAGTTTCATTTACTTGTTAGGCATAGTGAGAAATGAACAGCAATAGCTAATAATAAAATAGGACAATTATAGCAAGATACTATAATAAATGTTATGTGAATATGGTCTTTCTCTCAAAAATATCTTATTGTGTATCTTTCCAGACCATGTTTGACTGCAAGTAACTGAAACCATGGAAAGCCAAGCCCTGGGGTGGGGCCAGGGTTTTGTATAGATTTATGGAAAAGATTTGCCTTGGGAATTTTTTTTAAAAAAGATTTATTTATTTATGTTTACAGAACTGGGCTATAGGCCAGAGGTGTGGTGGGTGAGAGGATTCACCAGAGACAGGGTGGAGAACAGAACAGGCAGATCTACTGAGATACACTGCTGAGGGGGGCAGCAGGCGGGTCAGGAGAGGTCTGCCATGTGGGTCAGCTCCCGGTTGGAGATTGCACCTGTGCTGCAGTGGCTTCAGAGAGCTTCATAATGTGGTGCTTTAACCCATTGAGCCACCAGGGAGATATTTTAAAGGGTAAAAACCATGTGAAACAGATATTGTATAATGTCATACCAGCAACTTTTCCCCTCAGTTCAAATTCTGTCAACCTGCTTGATTGGCAATGAGAAAAACTTGTTCCTTGTCTCTTGCTATTGTGTCAATCTGCTTACCTGTCTGTCAGCTGAACCATCCTCATAAGAAGCCAAATCACCCAATGAACATTTGCCTCATCAGTGTGTGAAGGTCAAGAATCAAGGGCATGTGTAGGTGAAACCCAGAGGCCAGAGGCAGGGCCTGCCCGTCTTCCAGTGCTTTCTGTCTTGATGCTGCTTGCCGGAAGATGGCGCACGAGAAGAGGAGCCAGCTCAGCTGTACCCTCGCCTTCATGCTTAAGGGTCACAAACAGCATCAGTCCAATCTGATGTCATGATGATCTGACTGGCTTCCAGAGGATTAAAACAGTGACAAGCTGCTCTTCACACTAAACCCTGAGTGAATTGATTTGATTCCCCCTCTGGGGATGTAGAAGGCACTGGAGGCTCTGAAGAGTATCTGCTCTTACCTAAATCCAGACCTTCTAAGTTTCTTATGACTATCCTGCAATCCAAGGAGATTCATACCCATGGGGTGGTCATTCATGAGGGGGGATTCTCATGAAAAATTCTAGAAGCTAGTTGGTTGGTTTTGGAAGGACAGGATTTGATGAAAGGGGTGAGAGAATCAGAGTCAAGGCTAATTGCAGGTGTGATCAGGTGGCAACAGTCATTTCTAGGGTATGAGGTGAGGGTGGGGAGTTTCCAAGCTGTAATTGCTAAGGTTTACTGTGCTTTAAAAAAAATCATTCTGTCATTACTTTTTTTTTGTATATCTTTGTAGTCCCCTCAGTTCTTCCGCCGCCATCTCACCCATAACCCATATTCCCTTTGCTTTTCTCGCCCGTGTTTTGAACCTCTCCTGCCCTCCCTTGCTGGATGCCCCAGTTCTATGGTCAGTCAGCTTGCTAATTTGACATTTTCCTGACCTCTTGTTTGTTTTCTCTATATTCCCCACATACATGAGACCATCTGAAATTTATGTTCTTTCTTCTGAATTATTTCAGCTAGTACAACTAAGGCTTACTGTGTGTCAGAATGGATCTAAAGCGTTCTGTGCATAATCTTGTTTAGTAAGCCTTTGAACACCTCTGGGGAATAGAGACTCTGAAGCCACCTTGCTAATGGGAAAAGTCATGCATTGACAGGTAGTGACTGTGCAGGGTGGAGCAGCCGGGCCAGAGCCAAGCTTTGAGCTGGAGTCTGTGGCTCCTCCTCCTGGCCTCACCTCCTGCTGGAGATCAGTGTGCTCTGAGGCCACCCCACGGAGGGCTGGACTGGCTGTGGAGATGAAGGGCTTGGACAAGTTCAGAACACAGGCCCCAGGCATCTGAGTAGAACGAACCGCCACCCCAGGCTCACCCAATGCCAGGTCAGTGGGGAGTGTTGTAAAGGGCCTGGTGCTCTGACAGCATTTGCAGATTTTCTGGGCTGAAGACAGGCCTGGAAAGGTAGAGTCCAAGGCTACCTGAGGAACAGGCCAATGGCAGGGGCCCCCTCTACTGTGCTCAGAAATCTGGTGAGTCAGAAGAGTCCTCGTGACTAGCCAGTCCAGTGCTTCTTGGCTTATTTTGTCTGATAATTATTAACGGGCTGCTACTTACTTAGTGTCCCAAAAAGACAAGGCAGTGAGTGGTGACAAGATGGACCTCCTTAGGGTCGCCATTCCAGAAAATACCGTCTAAAGGGATACCCTTGCTGTGTTGAGCAACCCCCGCATTGATAGACAGGGAGGCATGGTACAGGCTACATAATGCAGCATGTTGCTGAAAAGCAAGATCCTGGCCTTTTAATTGATAAAAAACATGAGTCAAAAGGAAAAATAGATAAGGAAAGGGAGAAGTAGAAGGAGTGGCAAGGTGGAACTATATTTCTCATCGTGATATTTGGATCCAGCCCTGATTCCCCAGTCAGGATTTCGGTCTTATCAGTAAGGCGTTCCACTGATCAGCTTCTGGGGTCCTTCATTATCTATCAGTCAACAGCCCCCAAGGTGTTCCCGGTCATACATCCTGATATATAAGTCAGGACTAAGTTTATGTATCTGTCATCAGCCCCCCCAGCCCCTGCCCCGGTCGCTCCTGGTCATACCTCTTGATGGCTACACTTCCCAGAGTGACTCAGCTTTATGCTCTTAATTGATATGAAAGTCACTATGTGCTCTTAAGATCACAGTTCTGACCTTGTTTTGTTACAGAACTATAGGGAACAAAATAGAGGCTGGATAGGCCGCTTAGGATTTACAGAGCCACATACCCTTCCCCACCAACTCAGTCTCCTCACTCATCTCTTTAACTTATTTATTTAAAATAATATAATCGTTTTTTTTTTTTACATCATTTTGTGCCTTTTTCCATCTCAGTTGTAATCCCTGTGGGCTTCCCATCACCAAATCACCCATGTGCCGTCACCATAGTCTCATGTAACTTATTTATTTTTTTCATAGCACTTTCACGACCAGATAGTACTATGTTTGTGGGATTAGGTATTTGCCATGTGGAATACATGTTGCATGAGGGGAGGGGTCGTATCTGTTCTGGGCCCTGCTGTGCCCCAGTGCCTCAAACAGCTTTTATCCGAGTTGTTTTTTTTTTTTTT